GGAAGTGGTACCAAACAGGGAACAGCAGAATGTGTGAAGGGACCAACAAGATCATCGGATAATAGAATGGGGAGGCTGAATGTTACTGTATAGATCATCTAATTCAACCCCAGGCCCACTGCAAGAATCCACTACAACAGCATTCCTGACAGATCACCATTCAGCCTCATTTAAATATTTCTAGCAAAGGAGAATCCACCACTTTTCTAGGCTGGCTGTTCTGTTATTGAACAGATATTACCATCAGGAAATTTCACCTGATGTCCAACTGAACTCTTCTTCCTTGTAATTTAAATCCATTGTTTCTTGTCCTGCCTTCTACATGACAGCCATTAGATACTTGAAGAGATATATCACCTCTCCTCACAGACATCTCCAGACTAAACATACCCAACACCTTCAATCATTCCTCATAATTATTTTTCTTCCAGGCCTCTTATCATCTTGGTTGTTCTTTTCTGGACAAGCTTCAATTTGTCAATGTCCTTCCTAAAATGTAGTGTCCAGAACTGGATTCAGTATTCTAGGTGTGGTCTGACCAATGCAGAATAGAGAGGAACAATGACAGTGCCTTCAGCTGAAGCAAATAATTGATTGTTTCCATCATGAGTTTACTTACTTTAACCTTCTAATGAAGCTCATAGCTTATTGGTTCTTGGAATCTAATTGTAATGAATTCAGTGACCAGCGCATATTACCTACGTCAGGTTTCTGTAGCCTGGTGCCCTCCAGAACTGCTGGGCTTCACCTCTTACGTCCTCCAGCCAGCTTAGCTAGGCCCACTGGGGAGAAGGGAGGTAAAGTCCAACACTTCTACAAGGCTTCAAATTGGGGAAGCCCAATATGGAATGACTGTCCAAAATTTCAGAAGAAATTGGCCTTGTCTATAGAGATGTCAGACACTGAACACAGAAGCCTTCATACGCAAAGCATGTCCTCTTCCATTAATCCACTTTACCTGGTGTTCATCTCCTCTGCATACTTGCATGGATATACAACCATAAAATAATTTTCCTGTGGAGATTTTAAAGTTACAGAGTATTCAGAATTTATGCTCGACCCATAGTCCTTCCATATTCATGCAGGCCTACATATTCATAGGTGCCCCTTTTATTTGAATTGTTCTCTCACACATCCTGCAAAGAGCCTACCTTTCTTTAATTTAATTTAGTTTAATTTAATTTAATTTCATTTTAAAGAAGAAGCAATGAACTATCTGGAAAATGTTTCACTGAAATGTTATTTCTCTGCCCCAGGCAAAATGAGCACTAATGAACACCATACTGAAGATTAAGGCCAAATTAACTAAGACATTATCTCTCTAAATATGAAGCGAGTGACCACGAACTAACACCAAAAAAAAAAAAAAGTGGAAAAAATTAATTCAGAAAGTTAGTAGGAAAAGTGATGCAATCAAAGGGAGAGACTGAAAGATTCTTCCCTGCAGCCTCAAAGTAAAGATAACAAGAGATTTCCTCTCCCTATTCCCACCACAACTCACTCTTTACCAGTTGCTTTATACAGAGGCGCTGGTAGACTTTAGATCTGGCCAGACTTATCCAGCTCTACCTACAATTGTGGTAGCCCCTGTCTGGATTCCCAGGCAGAAAGAAGAGCTTGCCATCACCTACCACCCGAATCCTGACCTGGAGATGCAGAGAAATCCACACTAACTCAGCTCCTGTTCATTCTTGACACTATCGCTTTGTGTTTTACCATAAACATTTCTTCAGCAAACCCATTCCCACTGCATTCAATTTCATTTTATGTTTCTCCTGGCATATCCAAGTCTCACAGGCATATAACAAACAGGGTGGAAGCACTACCTGATACACTTCTTTTCATTCTTTGCAACACATCACATACTACCCATTCCCTTCTACCAGCACTTGCACATGTTAAACGTTTTCCTTCAATTTTCCCATCTTTAGTAAATATTCCACCAAGATACATCAATTCATTGACTGACTCTAGTTTAAACGTAGTTGATGGATCTGCAGTCTTTCATTCTATTTCCCTGTCAATCGCCCTGTCTTGATCTTTGATACATTAATTTTCAGTTCTATACTTCTCGTTGCATTATACAGTTCATCTAACATTCACTGCAGTTCATTTAGATTCTCACCAGCAACATGGCATCACTTGCATGTAAAATGCATGTCTCTAACCAACATACCTCTCACATCATCACAAACATTCTTTATACATTTATTGATAGTACATGAAACAACCAAAGGAAGACCACACATTTTTAATTAGTCCCTGCTCAGACTTAACCTTTCACTAAGCATTCCATTGATTGTCACACATTTTTTATTTCTATTACATATCACTTTTATTGCATTCAGCAAGGAACTTTCAACTCCATACTTGTGCAAAACATTCAACAATCAAAACCTATTCACTGCTCGCTTTCTCAGATTCAAACATTTCTCCGGTATCTTCTGAAGTGCAAAATCTGGTCCGCACATTCTGTCTGGCTTAAAGTTAAATTGTGCTTCCCAGATTTTGTTCATTGCATCACTTGTACCTTTTTAATCAGAGTTCTACCAAATGTCTTTCCAGGCACTCTTAACAAACTAATCCCCCTGTAGTTTTTGCATTCACTCTTGTTACCATTCCTTTCTTAGAATGGAACAATATCAGGCACAGATGAACTCTTCATACCTATTAAATAAGTCCCATAACCACTCTGCAAGCAAATGACATCCATATTTCTCCAGTTACACCATCTACCTCAGCGATCAGAGCCATCGATGTACAATTTAGTGCTATTATACTTAAATATTATTATTCAGTTTTATCCCAAATCATTTATCACTCTTATTTTTAATTCCATTCACTTTATCAGAGGGTTCTTGTTTCCCCCTTTCACTAGCTTCCCAAACAGTTGCTTATTACCTTCAAAAGCGTTCTGTATCTTCTCTGCCCCTTTTAATTCTAACCATTCCTTCTTCTCTTTGACTATATTCTTTGTAACTATTTCTCTCTGTTTCATATACTGTAAATATCCTTGTTGTTTTTGCTAAAACATTTTCTTACATGCGTTTTTGTCATCTATAGCTTCTTTCACTTCATCATGCCACCTAGCATCCATTTTTTATCTCCCATTAGCACAACTCTACACATTTCTGAGGCACTCTGTAACCCACTTATTTTCAGTCTGTTCCAAACACTGCCACATCCTCTTTTCTTATTTGCACATTCCATTCATTATTTGGGGAGATTAATCTATCCCCTGGTTCTTTTTCCATATAGGAGTCATCGTTTTTCTTCCTTCAGTCTTCCTACTTTCACTCTAATTTCTTTCACTTTTTTCCTTTTCTTCCATGCCCCTTTTTCTCCCAACATCCACTCTTGACATTATGAAATAGTAATTTGTCCCACATTCCGAACTACTCATTATCCTTCATTAATTCTCTCAGTATTTAATCCTAAACAATCAAATCATGCTTTTAATTAATCCTTTTTTCACATATAGATGTGAAACAGGCCTTTACGGTCCGATGCTTAGAATGAAGAGAGGAAATCAGTAAAGATACTGTAAAACTAAACAATTGGTGCTTTGATGGGTCTAATATAACAGAAAGGGCCATTATGACATCATGGAGATTGAAGATTCCATAATGTTGTAAGTAAGTAGAGATGCCAAGACAAGCAGGTGGATAACTAAGACAGGAATCCTGGACCATGAAAATCATCTATATCCATGCATAGCTCCCATGCTTACAGCACCAGGAGGCAGGGGATGAAGGCTATTCAGACTAAAGATCTGGTGAATCAGCTCCTGTGGAGCTGGTTTCAAACAACCCAGTAAGTTATAAAACCAAAACTCCCACCAACCCACCTACTGGTAAAGCATGTATTCTAATAGTAGTTGGGAATGAGCGTGCAATTTACAATTTTCCTTATGGACAAAAAAAGTTTATTTTGCTTTTAGTTTTGATTGGTGAACTCTGACCTTCTAATAATTAACTAATTCATCTCAGAAGCTTGGAGTCTGATCACAACTGCAGTAAGTCATTTCTCCACCATCCTATCACCAACCAGAGCTAATCAAATACTTGTGCCCCACAGAGAAACCATTACACTCCTGGTGCAGTTTGCAGAATACCAGGCCCAGAGGTTATTCCAACGATTTTCCAATAATCGCCTACTGCAAACCTTGATTCCATGTTGGAGATGCTTTTTCAGGTGAGCATTTCTACTAGGAAGAAGCTGAACGTCTAGAGCAGGGGGGACAATAAAGTACAGAGGGAAAAGAATGTACAGTTGTATCTGTATTTAAAAAGGACTCACTTTGCCAAATATATTCATTACCCGCTGAATTGTTGCAAATTTTATCACCAATTTTTAAAATCTATTATTATTAAAATTTGTCCTTGCATTCCACTAAAAAGCATTCAAATTAATGTACCAATCAGACAGTAAAACTGCTGTTAATGTTTTATGTGGATAAATAATCAAACACTGAGAAGCGGCAGACAAAACAGCAGCTAAAAAACACTGGACTGAAGATTTTTACATATCATTAGAAGGGGCAACATGATAGAATTTGAAAGTCTTTGCAGGAAAATAAACTCGATGGGGGACTCTATCACTGAAGCAGCCCTTTCTCTGGAACTGATATGTCTTTAAATACAGTTGCTTTTGTAAAACAATAATTTAAAAACAATGATGAAGATTTCAAATATGTATAATTTGCACTGGAGTGAAGCCTGGTTTTAGCTGTAGTTTTTCTGTTCCTGCTCATATTCAGGATGCTTCCAAGAGTGATTTCTAAAACAAACCTTCCAAAACGCGGTTCTCTTTTACAGTATAACTGTTTTGGTATGTTTTCCTTTTTGATCCAACAAAGAACGAAAGCTCCGCTCACAGCACACCAAGGAAAGGATCAAAGAGAAAGGGGAGATGCTAATCAGAAGAATCGAGCTACAAATCAGCAAAGGGAAGATGGCAGAGCTCATCCCACCTCTGGAAGAGAGAGAGCATCACTGCCTTCTGAGTCTATCTACAGCTTGTTTGACAATGATGGGCGGTTAGATGTCTTTAGTATGCGCAAGCTGGTCTATGAGAGAGGTAAAAACTGGACGTGTCAGTGCAAATAGTGAAACCTGGTTTTACATCTATCTCCTCTGTGGTGAGAAGATCCCAGTACACACAAAAAAGTAGGGCTGGTTCTAACAAATGTAAGAGGGAGCTTTTTTTCTTTTTTTAATGTGGGAGTTAGGGGAGGAATGATTCAACAAATCCAATGTTACATTGTTGACCACAGATCTTACAAATTAAACTCAGGCAACTGGATGCCTCTGAGATATATTGCATCACAAGCCCCTCTTAGCCCTAATTAGTATGGTGGCCATGTGTTATGGGAATTTGGGTCCAAAGCAGGTTGGCTTTCAGTCTGATAGATGTTGGGATAATTTACATCACTGTCTTGAAGTCAGGGTTGTTATTATTATGGAGGAGGAAAACTACGGTAGTCCCTCTTTGCCTTTTTCAACAGGAGCTTTTCAGCTTTGCAAAGCATTGTGGCAATGGAGGTTAACAGCTGCCCTGTATGGCAAAAGAAGGGCTTGCTTCAGACTAAAGCAACAGGCGATAGTTGCATCAAACAGCCCAGTTACACTCCAAGGGCAACCTCAGTTCTCATGTAAGAGCTTTGCCCAATTTACTGCTCTCTAGGTGTGCAGAGACTAAGGACACCCAAGCTCTTAGCCAGCGTGGCCTAGAAATTTGGAGAGTTATAGCCCTTGTGTATTCAGAGGGTACCCCTGGGGGAAGCCATCATTGGCATTAGAGTTCAGAAATAGGCAGAGAGAGCACTTTGTAGGATAGCTTGCTGGTTGCTGAAAATGTTGCAGGCTATGCTAAGATAAGTTTGGAAAACAGTATGAGCTGGCAAGGTGCTTCATGTTCCAAATATGAGAGGCCATGCTTAGAATACCTTTACTTGTATAAATTATGCCTTGACTGCTAAGATATTCTGAATATGCAGCTCTGCCTTGTAATTTAAAGTGCGTTCATTGACCACAGGGATTCCGACAGGAAAGCAAGATCACACAAAATCTAAAATCAGCTTGGTCCTAGGATCATGCTGTTAGAGATCCATAATTTTAGCTGGCTTTCATAATCACGATCCAGACTGTGGTATCTAGGAATGTACAGCAAGCCTCTCCAATGTCAATCTGGCCATACCATTTCTGAGTTGCAAATGTCCAAGTGACCATCCAATGACAACAAAGAAATAGAAAACCTTGCCTGAAATCCTGCAGTCACGATACAGTACAGCTATCAAGGAAAGACCCATTATCCTTCCCTGCAGCAAAAGCTCTTGCTTGTCTGCTAGCTCATTCTGTAACCAAGTTGCCCCAAGAGCCTCAGTAACAGAATGACCAAGTGTCCCCAGGACTTCTTCCAACTTTGGAATTAGGGATCAGCAAGAGAAATGTAATCCTTGCCTAACTGTGGTATCCCAAACATGAGAAGAAGACTGGTCATGTGTCACACGTACTGGATAGTAGCAGCACATTGTATGTGGGCTGTGGGCTATATATGTGAAGATATGAAAGCTTGTGCTTTCCATCAGGCTCAATAGAGCAGAATTACTAATTAGTCTTTTTCTGCAGAAATGGATCCAGGTTCTACCTGAAACTTTCAAAAAAATCATATACTTTGGGGGGGATCAGTTGTAATCACTCATATCCTGATCTGTGACTTGGTTTCTTTTGTCTAGACCAGGAGGTGGAGCGGGGAAGAACTAAGATCAATATACAGCATGATGAATTAGCTTTATGGATGGTAGAAATGAAGCCAAGGATGTTGGAAACCAACTGTATTCATTCCTGGGAAAACAGATTTGTTTCCAAGTACAGGAAGCAACAACACAGAGAGGTTTTAATCACCCCTTAAGCATAGTTTGGGAACTGTCCTATGAGGATGGGATGGAGATTTGGAGTTAATGAAGGACTTCTGTGCCAGAGTAACCTATCGGGCAGAAAGTCTCAGTACAAGCTGTGTATACAGTATTTTGCAATTCCATCGACCGAGGAAAAAACTTTCAAATGAGCTTTCAAAGTATTTGACTACCGCACCACATCCTCTGGCAGTTAGGAAGAGGGGAATTTGGAGCAAAAAGTATTCTGTTCCCCTTGGCTCCCCCTGCCCCCAAAACCAGTGTTTTGCAAGATCTTCAGTAGGATGAGGGACATAATTACACTTCCCAACCAATGTTCCATGGGGCTATATGAGAATGAACATCTGTCTGTCTGTCTATCCATCCAAGGCACACATCCCAGTGAAAGAAAAATCACCTGGAAGTTTCTATTTGGTGTGTACCCTGAGAAATCCACAACTGAAGAGAGGAAGGAGCTGGATCGGCAAATGTCTTCCCAGTATCAATGGATGAAGCATTCATGGAAGCAGCACTTCCCCTGGGCTGCCAGCATGAGGACCCAATGTGATTGTAAGTGCTGCGTCTGCCTGCTAGCTTTATATATCCCTAGGCTCCTCCCACTGGGTGGAGAAACAGGGCTCCTCCTTTTAAAGGGCTCCTGCCTGGACAACGAGGTGATCCCTACTCTTCCCTTGTGCCTGCAGTTGAGCTTTCCTTGGCCATTCAGAAACACAGTGAAGACCAGAGGGAAATGGAAGCAGCCAGTCCACCTACAGATATCTACAACGAGGTGAGGAATAAAGCAGAGGCTATGCTTCTTGAAAATAAGGCAAGCCGGGCCACTAGCAAACTAACTGTGAACTGGACTTCATAATTTTATTCGATGCTTTAGTTTAGTGTTGTCCAAACTTGGCCACTTTAAGATGAGTGGACTTCAACTCCCAGAACTCCCCAGCCAGCCATGGGAGAGTTGAAGTCCACTCTGGACTTCTGGGAGTTGAAGTCCACTC